TTTAAAATACACATTTTACTGATTCTGCTCTTACTTTAGCCCAACCCACTAAATAGGATCTTGGTGGGCTATGTGTAACTTTTAGAAACTCTTTATATGATCCCAGTAATCATTTGTCAGTCTGATTGAAAATGACATTTTAACTTGATAGAGATGTTAACTTCTGCTTAGCCTCTAAATAGCTGAAAGGGTCCTTCCTTCAACATACTGCTCTTGCAAAGGAATTTTCAAAAATCTGGTTAAATCTTCAATACTTTCTACCTGTAGGGAGGGGTTCTATGCATTGGGAAAGATAATTCTTTTTCCCTGTCCTATCTCTTACCTTATTCATACATTGTTCTTTCGTTTCCATTTTATGAGTGGATAATGATACTGTCACAGCAAAATAACACACATGAAGTAAGTAACACATTAAAAAGAAAGGGAGCCAGGCAGTTGAGTACCCCTAAATGAAAATTGGGGGTGGGGAAGTTAACCTCTTTATTTTTCCTTCCTTGCCTTAATTTTTTAAATCTGTACTTGATGATATGGAATTTACTTTGGGATAAACAAAAACCCCAGGACTGCCTCTTGAATGGGAAGCAGAGGCTATAGCAGTTCTACCCACATACAAGGTTGTCCATAAGAGCATAAGGGGCCCTTCCAGCCCCGCCCATCCTGTTCCTCACTCCCAAGCAGGGCTGTCCTATTGTTCTGAATGTGCTCTACAGCATGGCAGGTTCTGCTTCCGGTCTTCTCTCTGTTGATTTGCTCCAAGCACCTAGCTTCCTTTGTATTTTCTCCAAGCTTGTTCTGAGTCCTCTTTCTCTGAGACTCCTCCCAGGCAAATGTAGCTCTCACAAGGATAAAATACTTTTTCCCAAGCTGTAAACTCTGCTAGTACTAGTGTTTACCTAAAACCAAAAAGAAGAAAATGTCTTACTGGCTGGGAATAGTGCATACTTGTATCCCAACACTTGAGAGGCTGAGGCAGGAGGATTGTGAGTTCAAGCCAGCTTGGGCTACATACGAGACCCTGTCTTAGAACAAAACAAAACAAAAGAAACCAACAAGCGCCCCCCACCCAAAAAAAATGTGTTACTGTCCTCTCTTAACTATTTGATTGTTTTTCTTTCCCACCTCAAATTTTAATAAGAAAGGGACATAGAGAAAAATAATATCCTTCATGTACTCAGCCTGAAGACATGTTATTCTGCCTCTAGTGAAATAGCTCTGAAACTGGTGATGATCTTAGAGAAATGTTTTAGCAAGGAGTGTGTATTTAAATAGAGTTTTAGGAATGAACATGGCTTCTCTTTATTGCTACCTCAGTTTCTGTGTTATTTATGTTCTATAACCAGAAAAGACATGCAGCTACAGGGACTCCTTTAGAAGACCCATCAAGGCAGAGATTGTTTTGTTTATCATTGGGCCCTCAGTGTCTACTGCAGTGCTTGAAAAAGAGTAGATATTCAGTAAAAACTAAATACTAACTATGATAAACACAAAAAAAAAGCAAAAAGAAAAAATCCACACAAAATAGCATACTTTTATAATGATAGAAGCAAAAACAACAAAAAATAGTAAAAGGAAGCCATCCAGACAAAATAACATACTTTTACAACAAAACATGGTTATTGACTAACAAGCTTTATTACTTGATTTCCTTAGGAAGTCTTCAGTTCTTTCCTAAGTTTTAACCAGAGGGAGTTACAAAAGTTGAAGGATTTAGAATGTTGAGGGCAACAATTAGAAGGAGTAGGGATAGTAGAAGTAGATCATTTACTGCAGAGTGAAGTGACAGGCTGCAGGCTTAGCAATTGGGGGTCATTTAGTATAGGGACAGTTAACCCAGAAGTATTTGATGTTACTGAGCAGAGAAGGGACGGGGACTGAAGAACCATTACCTGCAGGAACAGAGAAGTGTGAAGCCACCTAAGAGGGTTGCACAGTGTAGTGTAGAAACTGCTGTGCTTAATAATAAGTAATAAGTACTTCCATTTTGCTAAAATAAGCACTTAAAAATACCTTATTTTCATTTTAAATGGTTAAAAATGCATTAACAATTTCATCTCTTTACTCAAAATATGTTATTCCTTAAAAGTGTGAGAGAAGTTTTATTGACCAGATCCATAAAGGAGGTGGTAATATGGGTCCTTACCCTTGTTGCTGGCATATAACAGACATGCACAGCTAGGAAAGTGATGGAAGAGGTGGAAGGAAAATGTAGTACTTACTTAGCTCAACCCAAGTTGATAGTCTGGGAATTAATATCTTAAGACTCTTCTGAGTACTTTTCTTTTTTTTTTTTTCTTTTTTTAGTTTTTAAAGCACTGGTTTTTTTTATTATTATTATTCATATATGCATACAATGCTTAGGTCATTTCTCCCCCCCTCCCCCCACCCCCTCCCCTGAGTACTTTTCTTAGGGTTCTTGTTTTGTGTCTGTCTTACAAACTCAGCAGATTGTAAACATTGATCTTGAAGAAGCAGTGCTTTTTAATTAAACTTTTCATTGAAGGATAATATGCACACAAAGAAGTATACAAAGAAAGATATACTTGACAAAGTGTCACAAAGTCACAGCCAAGGTACCAGCATCCAGATCAAGAAAATGAACATTACAGGAAGAACCCCATCCCTCTTCTGGTCACCATCCCTCCTCCCACCCCCCCATACGCTACTCTCCTAATGTCTTGTAGCATAGTTTAGTTGGAAGCAGTGGTAGTAATGCTTACTCTGTAAAGCTTTGGAGATTCTTTAATAAGCTTAAGATAAAAACTGTTATCCTTTGACTTTGTCTCGCCTTCTGAAGTACTTGTGGCTAAGCCTGATTGAATTAGATCAGAGCACTTGGGAAGTTTGAGTTGGGGTCCTCATGTACTCAAGTACCATCTTCATGGAAAAGGTAGAAACTGTTCTGTACATATCTTTCTCTCTCTTATTTCTTTTTTTCTTTGATAGTACTAGGGTTTGAACTCAGGGCCTTGCACTTGTTAGGTAGGAGCCATGCCCCTAGCCCTTTTCACTTTAGTTCTTTTTCAGATAGGGTCTCATACTTTTTGCCTGAGCCAGCCTTGGACTGTTATCCTCCTACCTACTTCTTTCATATAACTGATATTACAGGTGTGTACCACCTGCCATGTCTCTTGTTTTGATGAGAAATGCAATTTCGTAATGCCACTTTCTTTTCTACCTGTTTCTTGGTGTCAAAGGGAGTTGCTATCTCTCTATTGAGACAAAAGTCTTACGTACCTTTGACTCTTACATTAATTTATTAAGTCAGCTACTGATTTAGATCCAGTCCCTGGATTTACATATAGTATAAGAAATGAAATATTTTCCCTACTTTACACATTTATCCAGAATTGTTTCAGCTTTCAGAATTAACTTCATGGAGTATGTAACTTAAACTTAACTCCTCTGGAGAAGAAAAAGAGTAATCTATAAAAGGTGATTTAGATTAAATTTTCCAAACCAGTAGCCTTAAATTTCTCAGCCTCCTAGTCAAATTCTTATAGTTTCCTATTATAAATTGAATTGACTCTTAAGCGTTTGCTATGTAGAGGGTGTGTGTGTGTGTGTGTGTGTGTGTGTGTGTGTGTTGTGGAAGTTGCCAGATTGAGGGTCCCCTGTCTCTGAATAGGAAAATCTGTCTATTCAACAGTTGTCTTATTGCTTCACTAACTAGGTTCTATTAGGTTTGGCTGAGGTTCCAGATTTTAGACTATTAACCCTCACTGGGCACTGGTGGCTAACATCTGTAATCCTACCTACTTGGGAGGCAGCTGTCAGAGGACCATTGTTCAAAGCCAGCCCTGGGCAAATAGTTCGTTAGACCCTATCTTGAAAATACCCAATTTAAAGAAAATAGGACTGGTGGAGTGGCTCAAGAGGTAGAGCGCCTACCTAGCAAGCATGAGGCACTGAATTCAAACCTCAGGACTGCCCTAAAAAAACCAATGAGAAATTCATCTTAGGCTCCTTTTTAAATGTCACGTATAGAAATTGTGACAAAATGTACATAATATAAAGTTTGCCGTTTTATCTACTTTGAAGTGTCCTATCAGTTGGCTGTTTGATTTTTAGAGTTCTTATTCTTATCAGTATGGTCAACGTGATTAGCTGTGTACCTTGTGTTGAGGTTGGCAGATCATTGGAAAATTATGAAGGAAGTATAAATATGGTTCATGTTCTCAGAATCCCTGTTCTTAATCTTAAGGAGAGTAAGCCTCATTAGGGAATCAAGATATATGTGCACCAGTCAAATAATGATTCATTGTAGATGAGGCCTCAGATGTTCAAAGAAAGCATTGTGTAAAGGTCAGACTCAGTTTGGTCCTTAATCAGGGGCAGAATCTGTCCATTTTGTGAGAAAGGTAGAAATAGGGAACAGTGTGGAACTAAAGTAACATACCAGCTATTTCAGTGTTAAGTTTTTTGTCTTTCGAGAATCTTTTGCTTTTCTAGCTTTGAAGCTGCCAGTGTTTTGTTTTTAAAAATAAGCTGAACAATGTTCGCATATTATGGGCACAAAATTCATATTTAAGAAACCAAACTTAAGTTCTGATATAGACAGTATTAAAAATCCAGATATATGGTGGAAAAAGGTTTAACTTCCTATTAAAATTCTATGCAAATATCTCTGTCCATGCAGCATTGAACCTTTCAATATATAATCACTTGGGAATAGGTGTTTCATTAGTGAGTTTAGAACAATTGCTGTTACAGTTTTTATGAAAAATAACTGTGCAGAAATCAGCATGGGAAGAAACATTTATTTGTGGAGATTATTCTTGAATGTCTGCTAAGTTTGAAAACAGGTGAAAGTTTAGAGTGGTGTATACCCTAGGTCTTGATCAATTCTTGGTAATTGTGTACTGACATGTAGTGGCAAAAAATGGTGCCTATTTTGTTAGTGTATGTCTATAATGGGTTAAGGATTTCATCTTGGCAGATTGTAATGCCTTATAATCAGAATCACAAAGTTAAAACCATTTTTTCTCTTTTCATTTCTGTAGACAGGCAAGCATTCACTGGGGACCACCATGTTCACGTGACATCAAGAGGAAACGGAAACCTGTAGCCACAGCATCTCTGTCTAGCCCCAGTACAGGTGATTATATGTAGCTGTCATTTATTGAGCATCTCTTGTATGCTAGGCACTAAATTATGTGTTTTATGTTATCTTTGTGATAAGGTAGATTTTATTCCCATTTTAGATAGGAAAACTGAGGCTGTTAGAAGTAATTTGCCCAGTTGTCTATGCTTTTTCACTCTGTCACATGGCTTTCTAGAATTTGAAACCCATTATTCTATATCAACAGTCTGCAGTCATCTGAGCTTTTCTTTTAGTGCTGACAGGAAATTAGGCCCATGTTAATGGAAACCCAGCTGGGAGGCAGTTTGTCCAGTAGTCAGGCAATCATGTGGGTTCATTCACTTGCTTACTTCTCACTGGTTTTGTTTATCATAGAGTGACAATACTTTACCAATCAGGAAATTTCTAATGAAAAACAATATAAGTTTTTTGTGTAAAGCCAAAATATAGTAGTTGTCTTTGGTGGGAGGTATTGACCTAGAGAGGACACAAAAAACCTGGGGCATTTCCTATTATGCCCTGGGTGGGGTTTACATGGGTGTTTACATATGTAAAGGTTTTTGATCTGTACACTAAGATTTATGTACTTTACTGCATGTATGTCATCAAGAATATCGAATATCGACTATATTAGAGATTCTGTCTTCCTTAGAAAATACAGAATTCCTAAACCAAAAATCCAAAATCTAAAATGTTTCAAAATCTGAAACTTTTTGAGCACTGATAGAGGCCATAGGTGGAAATTTCACACCTGATCTTATATGATAGGTTGCAATTAGAACACAGAAGCAGTAAAAATGCTGTGTAAAATTACCTTTCAGGCTATGTGGATAAGGTGTTTATTATTTTTTTCATTTTTATTTTTTTGGATAAGGTGTTTATGAAACATAAATGAATTTTGTATTTAAACTTGGGTCCCATCTCAAGATACTTCTTTTTGTATATGCAAATATTTAGAAGTACAAAAAAAAATCCCAAATCTGAGATATTTCTGGTTCCAAGCATTTTGGATGAGGCATACTTAGCCTTTACTACATATTATGTGTCTCAGATCAGTTGATAGCTAAATAAAGAGTGAACTTCAAGCAGTTATGGAAACCTTCCCCTTTCCTGTGCTTAGTGAGTTTCAGCATACTCTGAAATTGATGATCTTTGAGCTTCTGTTTGGGATGACTGCTTGGCGGTGGTTTATACTGGACAATCTTAATCATAGGTCTAATGATTATTAAACATTTTTGAAGTGAAGTGCTTTCCACATGACCAGGCCCTGAACTAAACACTTTGCTTCAATAGCTTTATAAGATAGATGCTGTTTTTATTCCCATTTACATATGAGAAAATTGAGGCTTAAACTACTTCCCTAGGTTACTTGTTGATAAGTGCTAGAGTCTAGATCAGACCCTGTTCCCTTGACTCTAGAGTTGTTCTTTACACACTACTGGTGTTCAGGATTGGTTCCAAGCTGTGACCTTGCATCAAAACTTATGTTCTCAGCCAGTGTGTGGTATTCAAAGAATTAAAAACAAAACCTTCCTTCTTTTTGGTGTTTTTCCTTAATACCCAGCTTCTATTTTTAGCTTTTAGTATTTATTTGTTTATTTATTTGTTTGTTTTTACAGTACTGGGGATTGAGCCCAGGGCCTCATTCATATATGTGAGACAAGTGCTCTACCCCAGAGCTTCCCAGCCCAGCTTTTAATTCTTCATAAGAAAGAACCACTAGGAAGAGTTTAATATGCTTATTCCATGTTCAAGTTGGGAAATGTACTGGGGTGGGGTATTAAGCAAGACTTTAGCATTAAACATCTCCCCTATTGAGCCAGTTCCTCTCCTCTCACTTGTTGACTAAGCCCTGCTTCGCCGAGTCTTTTTTTTTCTACCCACAACCTGAGTGCCCCATGGAGGTGAAGGACATAGCCTGAGCCTGCGCCATCAGTCAGTAGAACAAATGGGCTTGCTCTGCCTAACATCGGGCCATCTCGGATTCCACCTCTTTTATAGAAATGAGTGATGAAGAGAGGTGCGTCTCGCTTTGCCGCTGTATTAATACACATCGGGGGCCAGCTCCTGGCAGTAAATCATGCTACTGCATACATCTGTTATCGGCTCTTCACCGGTGTGATGAACAAGACTGCAGATAGAGGCTTCCTTGTGTCATTCTTTATAGGATTTTCCTAAAAGAATAAATAGCTCAGATCTCTGCCAACACTCTCCCCTGTCACTGTGATGAATTCTGCTTCCTTCTTAAACATGCAGCCACAAATCTCTTCCCTTTTCCCCCTCCCCCACTTGAAGAAAGTTTTGAGTTGAATTGACTGAATTTAAAGATGTTAGTAAGGCTAGAGAGGTGAAGAGCAGGAAGGAATGTTATATCTCCTTGTCTTTTTGTTCTGATAGTAACAAAAGGCCAGAGAAAAGGTCCCTTTTAGAGGGTTGTTAAGTAGACCCATTGCAAAAGTGTAGCACCTTTTTTTCTTCTTTTGATCTCCTCTCTCCTCTCCTCCTCTTTATGACTTTGTAGCATGCAGTAGTACAGAGCTACACCCTGGAGTAAATGTGCAAACTTATATCTGAGACTGGTACCCCAAGATTGGGGTTGGGGATTTCCCAGCCAGTCTACCTCAGGCCATTTGTTCTCTTAAAGAATGCACTTGCCAAAAAAAAAAAAAAAAAAGAAAAGATTATTTTCTCTGAAAACTTGAGACTAAGCAACTGTTAAGACACATAAGGAACTCAGATGAAAACCAGGGTTCTTGAAATGATTTTATTCATCAGAGTGGTAGATCAGAGTTATTGGCATGCCAGTTCCAATCCTTCAAAAAGTAAACGCATGGCTTTTAGTATAAGGGGATGGGCGGGGGAGGTCAGAGATTCTATTCAGAGCTGGATTATTTTGGCTATTCCAAAAGCCTTTCTTGACCTTCCTTTGCCTGAAATAGGATTTGTGTCCTTAGCATCATACAGAAGGATTCTGAACAGTTAACCTGTTAATTAGTCACATCAGACTTTTTAGCCAGTGATGCTAGGAATGCATTCAGAAAAGCAGGAATCCTTTTCTGTTTTCTCACCACTCTACCCTCGGCATCAAAAAGACTTCGTAGCACAGAGAACAGGTTCACTAGATACTTGTTGTATGAATAAGTTCATAGCGTCTTAGAGTTGAGACACAGTTGCTCTTGATACTATTCTAACCACAGAGTGTCTGTAAAAGGACATTTGTAGCAGATATGTAAGGTGAAAAGAAAAACAATACAGCTACCACCCACATACCCATGATTTGCTTTAAGAAAAGAACACTGTTAAATTCTTCTTCCCACTCTCCTTAGAGGTAATAGTTACCCTGATTTTTCTTTTTGTTTATTGCTTGCCATTCTTTCGTTTTTTTCAAAGAGTTTTAATAGATATGTATCTCTGAGCAATATATTGTCTGGTTTTGCATGATTCTGATCCTTGTGTAAAACAATTCAAACTGTGTGTCATACAGGTTTCTCGAAGTTTTGTTCTTTAGATTCATTCAGGTTTTGTTCTGCCAAAATTCATTCATCCCTAGTGCCATATAAATGGTACTACATTGTATGAAGTGATGAGTGCATTGCAATTATGTGTTCTTGGTGGGCATTTGGATTGTATCCTGCTTGATACTATTATGAAAAGTGCCATATGACTCTCTGAGAGAACAAGTGCAAGTGTTGTTCTAGGCCACTTCATGCTCATTAGGATGGTTATGCCAAAACCCACCATCAGGTGGTGGCCAAGATGTGTTTGGAATCCTTGTGCATTTCAGAGTTGGAGGGGAGACAAGCAAAATGAGATATAACATAGGAAACTGTATAGAAGTTCTTTAAAAAATTGAACACAAAACTGCCATATGATCTAGCAGTTCTGCTTCTGGGTATATACCCTAAAGAATTAAAAGCAGAGATTCAGATAGTTTTTTATACACCCATGATCACAGCATCATTATTCACAATAGTCAAAAGGTAGAAACAACCCAGATGTCCATCACCAGGTGAGTGAATAAGCAAAATGTGACGTGTACATACAATGGAATACTGTTCAGCCTGAAAACCTTCATTACTCAGGAACAATGGATAAAGGCATTCCACATGAAATAAGCCAGACACAAAAGGACTAATGTGTTAGGATTCCACTTTTATGAGCTACCTAGACTAGTAAATTCATAAAAATAGCAAGTAGAATGGCGGTTGCCAGGACAGGGGGAGAGGGGATAAGGAGTTGTTGCTTATTGGGTGCAGAGTGGCCATTTGAGGTGATGAAAGTTTTTTGGTGATAGATGGTAATGATGTACAACAGCATCAGTGTATTTAATACTACTGAGCTACCCCCTTAAAATGGTTAAAATAGTAACTCTTATAGAAAATTTATCATAATAAATTTTGTTAAAACCCAGATTTTCAAGGGTAGAGTTTTTTACTGTGACTTGGTGATCATGTGGTAAGGATAGGTGTGGTTTTGTGAAGGTTACTTTTGGTTAAAGTTGAGCAAGTACATGTGTCTGAATTTTTGTGATGTGTGTATGTGAGAGGGGTAGTTGAGTTGTCAAATGTATTTCTAGCTGTTGTGGTTGTGATTCCAAAACATCTCAAAGCCATTGCTTTAAGGAACCTGTATATGTGCCATAGAGTAATAGCTTTCAAGATTTTTTCTTTTTACCTTAAGCTATGGTAAGAAATTCAAGTACAAGCCAGGCATGGTGGTACAAACCTGTAGTCCCAGCACTTGGGGGCCAAAGGAGGAGGTGTTTGACTTGTAGACCAGCTTGGGCTACATAGTGAGACCCTATCACAAAAAGAAACAAAACAAAAAAAGCATGAAATATGCTCTGGGTATACGCTTATATTTTCTCTTTGCTTGGTTTTTTTGATTTTTGTTTTTCATAAGGGAAAAAGAAATAGTGCTCATAACCACTCAGTTGATTTTTGTGACCTACTATTTGAAAATTAATATTCTAGGGTACATTTTTTGTTTTTAACATGGCACTGCAGTTCGAACTCAGGGCCTCATGCTTGCTAGGCAGGCACTGTTACCACTTGAGCCACTCCTCCAGTCCTTTCTTGTGATAGGTATTTTTGAGATAGGGTCTTGTGAACTATTTGCCTGGGGCTGGCTTTGAACTGTGATCCTCCTGATCTCTTACTTCCTGAGTGGCTAGGATCACAGGCATGAGCCACCAACACCCAGCTTCTAGGCTACATTCTTGAGAAATTATTGAGTGACTGGGTAAAATCTAAACTAGTGTCTTTTGCTATTTTTAATGTATATGTTTTTTTCAGCGGAGTGAGTGGTGGTTTGTACTGTACCACTTGGGGGCATTGGGAAATAGTGAGGGGGATGCTATTGGCCATTCAGGCGATAGAACCCAGAATGCTGTGTTCTAAAATATACAGCCCTGCATAAGCAATGATTATTCTGCCCAGAATGTCTTCAGTAACTTTGTTGAAAAATATTTGCCTGATACTTGTTTTTCATACTGGAGGACTGGGCTGTGGCAGAAGGAGCGTAGGGGTTTGAGTCTAGTATCTGAGTTTGAGTGTTGCTCCTTTTGATCTCTCCATTTCTGTTTCCTGATCCAGAAAATGGAGGTGACAATATCTGTTTCCAAGGAGTTTGCATTAAGAAATAAGGTCTTGCAGGTGTTGTAGTGCAAACCTGTAATCCAGCACTCAAGAGGCTGAGGCAGGAGGATCATGAATTCAAGGCTAGCATACAGCGAGACTTTGTCTCAAAAAAAAAGAAAAGGAAGTGTTTAGCAGGACAGTGCCTGGCACATATGTGCTCATTAGGGGATTTTTACTACATTGTGAATTTGTACTACTGAATTTACTTATTCAGCTAAACCAGTTTTCTTAGATGGAGAAATACTGAAATGTTGCCTTTATTTTTCATAAGGAAAAAAGAGAAAACTTATATGGCCACTTAATAGAACATGAACTATAAGATTAAGCAAATTTTATTTCTAAGTGTCTCTCATTCTAATGTCTTATTCTAATTTGTCTCCCTTTGATTGTTCTGCTCCTGACTACAACCAGTTCACACAGAGTCGACAGAGCCAGCTACACCAGCAGCACAAGCCCCGCCATCTCTAGGCTCTGACTGGTTGGTCAGGACCTCTGCAACTGAGAAAGACACTGGCTCGGCCACAACTACATTTTTTAAAACGCCACAGGAAAAGACCCCTGGATGCTGCTAGAGAGCACTGTGTCACTCCCAGGAGCTACCTGCGTGCAGCTGAACCTATTACACAGTCACGCTTGTCCTGACATTCCTACTCTCTTTACACACAGCAGTGGACTTTCTTATAGAAAATCATATTGTGGGAATCTTTTTTTAAAATTAGTAAAGTATTGAGGCAGAAATTTTCTTTTGAAAAAAAAGGGTCATCCTATTGCTATATTTGTTGTATTATTGCTGTTCCAGTGTTTACCTGTAACTGCCTTTACAGAGCTGTTGCTTTTTTTGCAGATATGTCTTTGTTCCTGGAAAACTAGTAGCACCTTTGCATACCTTTTGTGTAATAATATTTGAGGAAGTTCCAAATTTGCAGCCAGTTCCAAACAAATTCCTAAATGGAATTGTGTTTGCAGGAGATAAGGCTTGCTCCTGTTGAGTTGGTTCTTGGTTCACTCAGTGCCAATAAGATATGTCAACCAAGGTCTCAATTTGGGGTCTCCAAAGAGACTCCAGCAGCACGGGTCTTAGGAACTTCCTCCAGGCCTACAGATGTTGTAGCGGGATCACTGGCAGCTGCATTGCACTTTGACTCATCTTCAAAGTTCAGAGTCTACTGAAAGAGGACAGATCCATACCCACATGTTGGTGTGATGAAATGAAGAAGATGCTTTAGCTGTGCAATGGATGATGTCTTTACCTTCAGGTTTCAGAGTAAACCTTATGTCCTAAGTGGAGCTACATAGGTAGTGTTATAGATCAATAACCTTCAGCAGAAACTCATGCTGTATTAAAATAATGGTTTCTAGGGCCCATGCTTTGGGGAGGAAAAATGTCCTTTTGACATGCCTTTATACTTAGTGTGTTTATGGCTACTCAGCTGCATGTAGAGTTATATATATAGTCATGCCAGAAGTTGGATGCTACTTTGTCAAAATGAGGAATAAGTGACTGCCTGGAGCTGCTGGAGAAAAGCTGCTCTTTCTCAAAGGTATTATCGAGAATGTCATTCAGGAGCCTGGTTGACAGAGGACTCTTTTTTTTTTTTTGGTATGAACTGAGTGCTTTTACTCTGAAATATGTGGAAGCTGTTTGTTAAATGCTCACTTCTCTCATGACCTGGGAGAGGAGCGTGCATGTACACTTGTACACTTGGGCCTGGGCATCTTATCTTACATAGGTGTTGGTGGTACAGTGCCTCCTTCCCCAAATGTGCTGGTTCTTTCCTCCCACACACAATGCAGCTAATAGTGGATTGCTTTATTGTGATTGTTTATATCGGCGGACACTCCAGAATTTCGCTATGATTGAGGTGGGCGAGTAAATGGGTGTGAATCTTACTGGAAAGGGGGACTTGAAGCTAAGCTTACATAGCATTTTGGGTAAGACTGAGTTCATGTCAGTGGCCATAACAAGGGATATGGCAGAGGGAGGGCCATAGCGGCTAAAGCCAGCCCTGCCCTTCAGACTTAACCTGGCTCTCACTTAGGAGTGAGTGAACTGATGGGTATCTGTTGGATATAAAATGGCCCTACTGAATTGTTTCAGTGATGAAGGAAGGTTTTGTTGTCTTGTGCATTCTCACCTAGTCCCCATAGTGACCTGAGGCACTAACATTTACCACTAACATTCTTGGTTGGATTTAAGGCAAAATCTGTGGGTGATAACGCTTTTTGGGTTTTTTGGTGCCAAACTCTGTAGCTCATGCAGAAATTGGTCCTGTGACGATGGCCTGTGAAGACCCCAGCAGTTCAGGTGCAAGTGTTCTAATATCTTTCCCTCATGATATGTTGCCTAAAAGTCCTCCTTTCTACCTGTGATTTAAAATAACTTGTACATATATACAACCTATTTACATTTGAAACATCTCTGTGAAGCCATGCCATTTTACCAAGATAACAACAGTCATGGAGTTCAGTGATTTACTTAAAATCACATGATTAAGCCTGGACTAAAATCCTTGCTTTGGATTATAATCTGTTGTTTTTCATTGGTAGACCTGAGTCAGTCTGGGACCCAAGTTTATGAGACAGTTTGCCCTGAAGGCTTATCTTTCTTAGGCATCCTTTATACACATTTTGAGTACTTTCGACAGGGATTACCTCAGTAATCAACATCTACCTGTAATAAATGGGAATAAAATTAGTTGCCTAAGAGAATAGAATATTAAGCACACAAGTACTCCTCAATACAGGGTTGTGAAGTAGACTCATTTTCAGATGCTGAATGTGCATGCTTAAGGAATTACTGATAAACTTAACTCTGCTTGTTTTCTTTATTAACCACTTTCAGAGGCTAACCTTAGTATCAAGTGTATTTTAAATTTTGAATTTCCTTTTTTTATGTCAGGCTATATAATATAAATTAAGAAAACCTGTTACCTTTCAAGATAAGAAAGAGCTTCACAACCAGGTTTTCTATCAATGCTGAAGAGCTGATGGCATGACATACTTTGAGGATGATCATTGAACTCATGTGTTTGATGTGCTCCAAAGTATGACTTGAGCTGAGTTCTGCAGTTTTTGTTTTTGGGTTCTGATTTATCCCAGCTGGTTACACAGAGTATTTGTGTGATTCCTACTCTTGTGGGTTTTTGCCACAAAGGACAAAAATCAAGACATTAGCTTGACTTTTGCATGAGAACCATTTATAAAAAGTTACTTTTACTTATGGTTTAAGGGAATTAGTATTTTTCAGATGCAACATTTTAAGGGAATAACTTCATTTGCATCAAAACGCTTGTCTTGCTTTTTGGTAGGGAGTGATGAGAAGAATGTAGTAGCTGTTTTCATGGTGCCAGATTTGATAGGACAGAGTATAATTTTTACTTTGTGGCATGTGATTGGAAAATAGGCCACATTTAGCCTTGGATTCTTTAGAAATCAATTGTGATTAAAGATTTCAGATGACATTGTTTTGCAGGGCTATGGAATAAGCTCTAAGCAAGGCAGTTCTTGCAGTCAAATGACCCAAAACTGAAATAAGACTTGATCTGTGGAGTTTATGAATGGCACCCTTTGTTAAGTCAACCTCAACAGGTAATTAAGCTAGTGACAAACCTTAAAAAGATTAATCTGTTAGAGTTTTGCATATGCATGTATCTGCATATCTTCTACAGCCTAGGAAGCTCAATGCTACCGTAGAATTTGTAAGTTAGGAATTGAGGTTACTGGGGTGGAGATGAAGGAGCTAGGCTGGCATGGTCATTGCTGGTGTGATGGGTTCTTCTCTTGGGCTCCAGGCAAAGGGTTCTGATGACACATGATTCATTTCAGGTCTTTGCTTTATTTTGGCATAGTTACTGTGGTTCTGAGCCATGTGCTTTTTCCTCCCTGGGAAGAAGGCTATGTAAAAACCTCAGCATTAGAAGCTGTATTCAGTGACCTGTATGTTTTGTGAGCTTTGTCTGAGGTAACAAAGTGGCTTGCTGTAGCAGCCATGGATGCAGTCTCATTGAAAGCATAGCTTAGAAGATGTGTCGTGCCTCACAGATGGTGGGAGGGATGGTAGAAGCAGTTTGCTCTTCTTTTCAGCTTCTTCCTTGGCTGATGCTGGAGCTTCTAGTTTTACTTGTCAGTATTTTCTTACCTCCCAGACCTGTTGAGACAGCAGAGTTACTGCTTCTGGCAAAAATTAGGATGATGGGTCCTAACCCATCAAAACACTGAAACAGGACAAGAGCAGAACAGTTCCGTTCTACCACCAAGCACTAGCAGAAGTGGCCGGAGAGGCTTACTCCTAAGTTAAGATCTCAGAAACAGGAAGGTCCCATGCCTGGAGACAGCAACATGGGAGACAGAAGATGAGCAGTACTGCTTAAAGAATGGATTATAAAGTTTTAATAAGCCCAGAAAACCAAACTATGGCCAAAAGAACCTGTCCTGGAAGTAGACATAATCACTTGGCAAAATTGTCAGATTTGGGACTAAAAAATTTTCAAGTACTGACTTGAAGAATGGGTCAGATCCTGAAGGTGTGCATGCAGGGACACCATCTTGGGGAGGTGGAGAAGTGGTGAGGCAAAGGGAAAAGAAGAGGAGATGCATACAGCAAGTGCTCTCAAAGGGTGGCCCTAGTTGCCCCCTAGACCAGCACCCTGCTGAGTCAGAATGGGGATGAGGCCCAGACAGCTTTTAATACCCTCCAGGGGGCTTGGATACAGACTTGGGTCCAGGGTGTGGAAAGCAGACTTTACCACAGTTAAAAACAAATGTCTTCATATACTTGTGTCCTCCTAAGCTCTGAGGTGTTACATTTCTCTTCATAAGTAAAGATGTTTGTGTATGATTCTTTGCAGAAACTGTTAATATCTTTATTTCCTACACCTTCCCTGGCAGGCTCCTGAAAGAGTGGAAAGGATGGTGTGGAAGAAAGCTGATGGAAAATAACATTTAAAAATGGGTAAAAATATACCAATAAATTTTTAGAGTTCAAATGACAGTCATTTTTCACAACCAACAGTGAAAACATTTGTGTAAGATACACCCATGAGTTTCCACATTTGTTCATTAGATCTTGTTTTAAGGGGAAGTGTCACTATTTCCCAGCTTGATGAGAATGATAATGATTATGGTTCAGAAAAATGAAAAGGTAACAAAGAAAAAACCACCCTGGCAGGTGTATAATTGCGTGTTGCATTTTTTAGTAATCTGCTAGCACTTATTCTCAACACTTCAGAGCGTGCCAAAATCAGTTGCCACAACCCCAGTACACTCCCTTGTCTCCATTTTTTTCAGTTCAGCTGGTTGAGTTCTGAGGAGCTCAGAAGCAGGAGCAGTATATTGCTATCTTCGTAGTCTTGCTCATGGGTTCAGTGTTTCAGAATATGGTATTCTAATCTCAAAGCTTTGAAACGAAATCATGACATTTTCTTATTTGTGGTAATTAGCCTGGGCCCTAACTTGTTGCTAAAGCCTATGAGCCTTGAGACAGGAGTCTCAGTGAATATGTATGGCTACGATCTCATTGTGTCTGAGAAGGTAACTGACAGTTTTCTAGCATCGTTTCCTCACATGCTTTGTGTAGGCTGTTTGGCTCTCATTTCAATTGTTGCAGTCTTAAAACATAATTTTTTTTTTCTTTTTCATCTTGAAGACCAATCAAAAGTATCTTTGCCCAAAAGTCAGTGTTTTAAAACATCAGTTAAGTAAGTTAATGTTTTCTCTCTCTAAAAGTTATGACCCCTGTAGGCTTTTCACTCAAACGTTTTCAATTGAAAAATGAAAATGTCTACGAACTTAAAGATGACATTGGTGGTTTTCACTTAAAATCAGCCCATTTCATTGTGTATAAATTCTACATCTTGTTCTTCCTAGTGTGCCACGGAAAAAATCTTAGGACTGAGTAAATTGATGCCACCCCAAAACCATAGTGACAATTTGAATTACACAATATTTACCTCAGTTAATGCCACTTCCTATGTCAGCAGCTTTTGCAAACTGGTCATTCCAATCCTTTGCTATCCCTACCTTCCCTCAACCCCAGCAGCTAGTCTCACCTCTTCCCCAGCCCAATGACAGCTTTAGGCAGAACTTCCATCCACACATCTCACGTAATGCATGTCTTCACCTCTTCACTCTAACAGGTGCCTGTCCTGCCCAAGAAGAGTCCTATGCTCTAGGCCCTGTCCCTTGATCCATGTCTTGGTCAGTCTAGCTACAGCTTTGCATTTCAACAGATTCAAAGACTCCTTCAAACAAAAATACCCTTCCTCAACCCTTTGAACTCCTCCCTACCCCTGAAGTTTAGTGCCCTATCCTCCCCCCCACCACCACATGCTCACCATTAATTCTGCCACCCATCGAAGCAGTGTCTTTTAACCTTGGCTGCACGTTAGGATCACCTGTGGAGCTTTAAAAAATCCTGATTCTCCAACTGGACTCCAGACCAATCACATCAGAATGGAGAGGAGGGGACAGTCTCGGGTCTTACAATCTGCAGCAGGACTGAGAACTGCTAATGCTAAAACTTGTTCTTGCTGGGTCCAACAGAGACTTACAGCGGCCAAAATTTAGTGTGTAGGTTAACCTTTATGATATTGGTGTTGTGTGACCACTTTTTTTTTAAATCTCCCTTTGCTACTCTCCTAATTGTTCTCTTTTTTTACTTTCTTTGTTTCCCCATGTGGGCAGGTCAGTTGCTAGGTTTGTCCAGCACACCTATATGCTAATGAATTCCTTTGCCATACCACCTTAATATAACTACTTAAAACACAGACTTAGAGTGAAGCACTTCTGTTCATTATAATTATCATAAATGAGGAAAGAATACTCAAGGCCTCTGCTTCTTCCCTTACCTCTCTTGTTCCTCCTAAAAACCCCACTAAAGTAGGAGGAATTGCTAATCAGATCAGAATCAAAGATGGATTGCTCTGTTTACTACTGGGCAGCTATTGATGAAAAGTCAGGCCTTCACTATGGTCCCTTCCTTACTTTTTCCTCTTTCCAGGGTCTTGAGCTGGGATGGGGGTCCTGAGCCCACTTCTACATATGCAGAAGTGCCCTAGAAAATGCTTTCTTTTATCTTTGACTTTAGGCTGCTGGTAAGAGTTTGGATTTAGATGATAAGACAGACCCCCTTTTTGGGTTTGGGAAATGAACTTTTTATTAGGATATTAGTAGTAGCTGCCCCTGCTACTAATAAAGTGGAACTTGATTTCCCACTTCACTCCATCACTGCATCCTGCCTTGGATCTGGAGATACAGAGGTTCCACTCTTAGAAGGGATCCTATGCGTTCCTAGCTTCTACAAATCATTAGTATCTAATTCAAATATATGGTAGGTGGGTCTGATGAGTGCTGTGTTCAAGCTGTAGGAAGTAAGGATGAAGTTACATGCAATGCTAAACTCTACTGGGGATAGAAAGATTCCTCAAACACAGGTGCTGGACAGCCAATAAAAACAGCAAAGGGCTTCTAGAGCCATCACCCTAGTCACTGACTCAACGAACACTTACTGAACACTCACACTGAGCCTGTCCTCAGGAACCTCTTAGGGAGAGGATCACTACCCTAAAACAGGATATTCCAGGGTCCCTTAGATATACTCTCCTTGAAACTACTACATCCTATCCATAGTCCCTAATAATAATAATGACCAATGTTTACCAAGTGATTATTTTATGCCATCAGTAAATAGCATCTCACTTCTTGTCCCAACACCCCAAACCCTGAAAAGCATAGTGGTTCATGGCTAATCCCAGCATTCAAGAGGCTGATGCAGAGAATGATGAGTTTGAGGCCAGCCTGGTCTACATAGAAGACCCCTGTTGCAAAAAAGCACATCTTGTCCTTTGTGTATCGAGATGGGAGGACATGTGTTTTTAGTTGTTAATGGTAGTGATGGACTGCTTTGATCATCTACCAATTGTCCCTTTACTACTAACAAAATAGATGTCTTAGTCTGGGTTTTAGAGGTGCCTTTTAATTAGTAGATGTGTGGAATACATTTTATATCACAGGAAAGGCATTTCTGCTGTCGTGAAGTTGATAGTCTTCTGAGGAAGAGACAAGAAAAGCTCACGTGGGGTGATAACTTTTGGAGAGGAGTATCTGTTTTGGCAGTGATGATAAGGACACTTTAACTCAAACTGGGCAGAAGAAGGAGTTAAGTGAAAAAGAGAGGATGAGGCCCTTCCAGGGGAAGGAGCATGGTTGGTTTACAGCACTGCAGGTATTTTGGTATGGCTGATATATACATGAACAGAGAGAGGTGGGTAAGAAACAAAATGGAGGGTCTTGATCCACTGGCATGCTTGATTGAGAGAGCTATTGCAGTATTCTGCTGAGCTCAGGTGCAGTCATGAAAACCCAACTACAACTGACCTGTGTGCAAACAGAGCTGGAACTGAGATGTGAACAGTTTGTACTCCCTTGATCACGTTCCCTGGGAAATATAACCAGGCCAACCTGTTTGTAGGAACTACTGACTGCTTAGGAGTAGAGTCAACTGGACTGGAAATTAGAGTTTAGCCCTTGGCTGACAGAGTCTCTTACATGGTCTACCCTCTACTTCTACTCTACTGAGTAGAAGCTACTCAGGAAACGTGACAATGTGACGGTCCTGATTCCTAGTACTATTTTTCAGTAACAGAATTGTCGCTACCAACTACTGGCTAAGCATTTTGAGCTTTGTTTCTTAGTAGTGACAAGTCTGTGTTGATCCAGTCACACCTTTTAGACTGAGCACCATTACAGTCTTTGACATTTTGAGCCTATAGAAAGATACTCGTAGGATCAAACACAGCTGGCTCACTAGAAGCTCTGATCCCATGGATTTGGACTCATTGATACCATGTTATAAATAAAGTTTACTAAACCCTTTGAAACTGCAAAAGTGATATGAGTGTATAGTTTTTTTGGCAGCACTGGGGCTTGAACTCAAGCCTTTGAGCTTGCTAAGCAGGTGCTCTACTATTTGAGCCACTCCTCCAGCCCAAGTGTGTGATTTAGAACACCATTTTTTATGGACAGCTCTGACTGACCAGCACTTAAACCAGGAGCTTTTGTAAGAAATAGGTTAAGTGACTTTTATGTTCCAATACTAAAATATTTCATTATTAAAAGTAAATATACAAATTTCATCAGTGTTTCTCATAAAGAATTGTGATATATTGACTGATGAACTAGAGGAAGTAAGAGAATTCTAGGAAGGTATAGTTAGACATTATCACTAGAAGAAAAAGTCAAGCTGCTTGTTATCCAAAGTAACACAACATACAACCAAACTATAAAAGTGAAAGATTTGTAAAACTACAGAATAAGACCAAAACTATCTATCATTAATAAAACTTATCTGTAAATAAAAGATAAAAAAAGCAAACTTGAATTCCATGTCCTATTATTTAGAATGACTCCGAAAGGTTGAATAAGATCAACCAAGCAAAACAAACAAGAAAATAGATTATAGACTTAGTGTCAGACAAATGAAAAAAATTGAAAGGAAAAGAAAGGCATTAGCTAGTACTAAAGTGCATACCTCACAATGAAGCGGTAACAGCTCTCTGTACAAATCACAGAGTAGCCATTTATACATTATAAGCTGTAAGAGACACAGGAAGAAACTATAATGTCAGCTGGAGATTTTAATGCAACTATTAGTTCATGACAGATAAAGTGAATAGAAAAATGAGAACTTGGGAAGATTTAAGTAAGGTAGAGCAAGTTGGTGTGTATGAGACTACCCTAAAAATGGTGCCTACACTACACCTTATTTTCAAGTGGCCTTGAAACATTCCCCTATTTACTGTATATTGGAGAGTACAGAACACATTCATAAGTTTCAGAATGGAGAAAAGATATAGATGGCATTTACTAACAAAATGTAATAAGTTAAAGCCAGAAAACAATGCCCATCTGCAATGTAAAAATTTTTTAAGTTCTCAACTATTCTTGGGTTGAATAGAAAATGTAAAGCATAAAAAAGTACACTTGTGAGATGAGATTCAAATAAAGCAGCACTCAGAGGAAAATTCATAGCACTAAAATTTGCATTTTGAAAAAGAAGAAAAATGGTAATACACCTCAAGATATTAGGAAACGGACAGCAAAATGAATTCTTTAATGGCAGACAAAAAAAAACAGATAGAAATTGATTAATTAGAAAAACGGGAAAAGGTTTATTAAGAGCTGATTGTAAAATATGGTAAAATGTATAACCTTTAGCTAACATAATGACACATGAAGACAAATAAGGTAGAATTACCAAACATTGAATAAATTATACTTTGCTCAACTCTGAATAATTTAAAAACTTGGGCTAATGGATAATTTTTAAGGAAAATATAATTTTCAAAAACGTCTTCAGAATAAAGAAGCCTAGAATACCAATTATCATGGAAGAAACAAAAGAGTTGTTTCAATTAGCATAGCAGGCTAATTACCTAAAATGATCTTCCCATAAAAAACAACCAAATATATTTGGGGGATTAAAAAAACCTTTTATTGTATTAACTTTTAATTTTTTTAGCATGAAATACAATTTATTGGAAGGCGTGTATTTTATAGAATCCAAGCAAAACTCACCAACTAGAACTGAAGTGAGGACAGTCTAGGGGGCATAGCAGTGATGATTTACGGGCCCTCCATCTAGTGTTCCAGTCCACATTACAGTGGCACAGAGCCTCACGGCAACATTCTCTGGAGCGCTTAATCCACACCTTAAAAATTTAAGACTTACAGAAAAGCTTCAAAAAGTAGAGTTCCTGCACACCCTCTCCCAGCTTCTAATGTTCACAACTGTGAGCATGGTACAGTTATTAAAACCAGGCAATTAGTATCAACACAATCCTATCAACTAAACTACATGCATTATTAGAATTATACTAGTTTTCTCAGTAATGTTTTTCTGGTTCAGGATTCAATCCAGGGTCCATATGTACTTGTGTCCTTTTTGGTTTTCAATTCTATTCCACTGGTATGTTTGTCTACTTGAGCACAGTCCCTGTCTGTTTTAATTATGGATACTTCAGTGTATTTTAATGACTGTTAGGGCTTTTCCCTCCTCTAGTTTTTCTTTTTCATCATGTTGGCTATCCTTACATGTTTGTTTTTCCATTTGAACTTTAGTATCAACTTGTCTGGCTACATTAAAAATGTGTTGGTGTTTTGTTAATGTTGTACAATGCTTATTAACTAATGCAAGGAAAGGTCACCTTTACATTGTGCTGCCATTTTATCCAGGAAGAGGGGTGCATTTCTGTTTGTTCAAGTATTTTTATGTTTTTTAGGGAAGTATTTAAATTTTTCCTTGAATAGGTTTTGTGTATTTCTGGTTAAGTTTATCTCTAAGAGTTTAATTTTTATTGCTAGCAAATGAGGTTTCCTCTGACATATCTTCTAACTAGTTATTCTGTATATGAAGGGTATTGATTTTGTATGCTAATTTTATGCCCTGCTACCTTACTGAATTGTTTTACTCTTTGGACTATTTTTATCATCAGTCCTCTAGAGTTAAAAAAAAAACTTCCTAAATGAACAATGGAATGACAAAGAAATGAAACAATCTATAGAGGTTAAAAAAAAATTACATGAACACTTAAAGGGAAGGAAGGCCATCTTTCACCCTGAAGGTATTGCTATGCCCTGATTATCTTACGCTTCTGTGATGAGCCTGGGATAGGTGCAGGAGGCCACGCAGGGCCTGATCAAGGCATGAAGGTTCCCTGAGATCAACAAAGCAAGGACTCTCAAAGTGACCTGAACAGTGTAGGGCTAGATACTAACTAAAGCACTAAGCAAATAGCGCCTTGGAACTCACCTTTTCTTGATCTTGGCCCTGGTAGAAAAAACAAAAAAACTTTGTGTGATTGTTTTTTTTTCCACCTAGAAATATTTAGCAAGTTGTCCTTTACAGACAAATTGTTTCAAATTTCTACTACTTGTACAGTTTGAAATACTGCAAGAGGGAATTTAACTTACAGTGGACCTGGGTCAATTCCAGGTGCCTAACAGAAGCAGACATGAAGTCTGCAAGAAGGAAACTTCGATCTAGGTATCAAAAACTCCCACAGATAAAATTATATAGAATATGAGTAGCTCACATTTAAAAAAAACAATAAATGAAAGAAAGAGATAATTGCAGGTATAACCAAGATTAAAAAGTTAGTAAGATAATTCTATGAACAACTTTAGCTAATAAATTTGAAAGCTTAGCTAAAAGGGACAAATATCCAGAAAAATATAGTTTACCCAAATTCAATCAGAAATAAAAAGCTTGATTAGTCCTGTAACATTGGACAAATTTGTTTTGGTTGGGCATGAACTCAAGGCCTTGTGCTTACTAAGCAGTTACTCTATCATTCGAGCCACTCCACCAACCAACAATAAACAAATATAATCAGTTGGATGAAATCTGGGACTGTATTTGCAGAAGGATTTGGTTTTTTGCTTTTGGCAGTACTGGGATTTGAACTCAGGGCCTCACGCTTGCTAGGTAGGCACTCCTACTGCCTGAGCCACTCCACCAACCTTTTTTTGCTTGGGTATGTTTGAGATAAGGTTTCATGAACTATTTGCCTGGGCTGGTTTCAAACCACAATCCTCCTCATCTCGCCTCCTGGGTAGTTAGGATTAGAGGTGTGAGCCACCAGTGCCTGGCTACAGAAAGATTTTATGTGATTCCCAGAAATGCCATCAGTTCTTTTTCTGGAGTTAGACCTATTGACAATAAGGTTCATTCAGAAGAGCAAATGAGCAAGACTAAGCCAAGAAAACCCTGAAGAAGCACTTGAAAGGGAAAACTTATCCTATTACTTATTAAAGACAAACAAAATGTGGTACAGGCCAGTGGAACAAAAGAGACAATTCAGAAGTAGGCCCAACTGCTTATGAAAACTCAGGATACAATAGGACGGTATCCTTAGTAATAAGTGGGGGAAAGATGGACTCTAAGAATGAATGATACTATAGTAACTGGATGTACTTCTATAGATGACCATATAGAAAAAGAAACTTGGGCCTGTTTCTCACACCACTGCCAGGATTATTTTCAAATTAATCAGAGATTTCATTGTGCAATATTAACTATACAATTACTAGGAAATAACAAACCAGGATGGATTCCTATGTAACAGGAGTCAGCACATATGGCCTGTGAGCTAAATCTGAACCAAGGCCCATTTGGAGGCATTTATGAGCTATGAATGGGTTTTGTAATTTTAAAGAGGGGCTAGAAGAGTGGCTCAAACTATGAAGTATCTGCCTATCAAGTGTGAAGCCCTGAGTTCAAACCCTTCGAAAAAAAAAAGTTATTTGGCTCCTGTCACCTGGGAGTGAACAAGCTTTCCACTTGTTTTGATCAATGACTGCATAATGCCACCCAGGTCAGCTGGGGCAGCTCTGTACCACATGTCTCTGATTTTCCTTGGACCAGTAGGAAAAGAGATGTCCTCTCTTTGGTGGAAGGGATTGTAAATTCATGTCGCAAAGGGTGGGGATTCATGGAAGCATGAAGAATTGGGGCTAATAATATACTTCTCACTAAATAGTCCTTAAAATATACATGCAATTGGAAATATTTGACTTCATTAAAAATAAAACAACTTTTGCATGTAAAATACACAACAAGCAAACTAACACTCAAGTGATTACTTGGGAACATGTTTGCAACTGACACGGATTAAGGGCTAATATTTCTATAAAGAGCTCCTAAAAGAGAATATTCTATAGAAAACTGGGAAAGAGATATGAATAGACTGCTCAGAGAAGAAAAATGAAACATTTCTTAGACATGCAAAGATGCTCAAGTTTCCATATAGTTACTCGATTTGCACAAGAACTTAATGAGTAGACACTGTTATCATTCCCATTTTTAAAGACAAGGAAACTGAGTCACAAAGATGTATTCTGCATGAACATACATGCTAGTAAGTGGTGGTGCTGGGATTTGAACCCACGCAGACTGCTGTAGTTAAAAGGGCAACTTGCCATGACTAAGTGAAGCTTATTTCAGGAGTGCAAGGATCATTTAATATTAGGAATAGCTGGGTGTTTCCTTAATATGATAAATATATATTTATCTCAATCCAAAATGTGTGTTGTGCTTAATTGAGAATACCAGAACCAATGTCATTAAAGCCAGGAATAAGACAAAGATGCCCACTAATCATCACTATTGTTTAAAATTGTTCTGCAGGACTTAGACAAAACAATTAGACGAGAACGAAATTAGAGATGCAGATGAGAAGGCAAGAGAGGATAAAGTCATAATCTACAGATAATGTGACTGGATTGTGTATCTAAAAACTGCCGAGGACTAACCAAAACCTTACAAACAAAATAAGAATTTAATAGCTGAATTCGAAGAAGTCAATAATATTTGCATACACAATGTCCAATTTAATGTTATGGAGGAACAAAAATTCTCTTTACGATAACAGCAGAAAACAAAAAAATAAAATACTTAGGTATAAGTTATTTGTAGAAAACTTTAAAGTGCTAATGAGGGACAAACAAGAAGACAAGTGGAGAGACACCATGTGCTTTCATGGGATCTGTATCCCAAGTATATCACTTTCCCTTAGTTAATCTAGAAATTTAACATGGTATAGAGTCAGAACACTGTAGGATCTAAACAGAAGATTCACATAAACTGATTCTGAAGTTAATATGGAAAATTAAGGACTGGGGACGTAGCTCAGGTGGTAGCTGCCTAGTAAGTGCAAGGCCCTCCTGAGTTCAAACCCCAATACTGCCCCCCCAACATAGAAAGTTAAATAAGTAAGAATATCCAGGAGACTTTAATAGAGACTAATTCCAGTAGACATTAAAAATTACATATCTACAGCCATTAAAACAGTATGGTAATAACCTATGAATAGTCAGATGAGTAGAACAGGACAGTTCAAAAATAAATACAAGCAGAGTGTGGTGGTTCTCTCTTGTAATCCCAGCACTCAGGGGGCTGAGGCTGGAGAACAATAGGTTCAAGTTGGAACTGGGCTCCATAGAGAGTTCCAGATCAGCCTGGGCTACCTGGTAAGATCCTGTCTTTCCCTGTCCCCACCCCTCCCACACACACAAAAAACCAAACAGAAATAGGTTCAAATATACATGGGAATTGATGATATTTAAAGGTAGTTTTTCAATCAGTGGGAAAAAGAAATTCAGTAAATGGGTGAGGAGCTACTACTTTGTGTTCTGGAAAAAAAATTTAAGTTGGTTCCATACTTCATTCTTTACACCAGTACAAACTATATGCACTCCAAGATTTAAATATTGAAAATGAAATCCTAAAAGTGTTACTGATAAATTCTTTTAAAAAGTAGCAGTGGAAAGGCCTGTCAGAGGGTGGGTCTTGTGTTAGCTTTCCACCTCTGTGAGGAAATAATCAACTTACAAGGTGGAATGGTTTATTTTGGCTCAAGGTTTCAGAGGTGTCAGTCTCTGGTCCGTTGCCCTTTGGTGAGGTCCAACAGCCAAGCTGCCTGCCTCAAGGAGGGAGGGTCTGGGCTCCCAAAATCCCCTTTGAGGCCATCCCAATGACCTAACTTCTTTTCATTAAGCCCCACCTCCTAAAGGTTCCACCACAGTCTGGGGACGGTGCCTTCAGTATAGGGGCCTTTGGGAGAACATTTAAGGTCTGAACCATAAAAAGCTTAGTGGAAGGAAGTTAGGTTGTTGGGGGCGTGTCCTTAAAATGACTATTGGGACCTCAACCCCCTCCTGTCTCTCTTTTTTCTCCCTTTCCATTGTGAGGTGAAGAACCCTCTGCCATGATATACTCACAGGCCCAAAGCAACAGGGTCAAGTGACCATAACTGATCCTTCTGAAACCGTGAGCCATAATAAACCTTTCTTCTTTAGAAGTCGCTTGTCTAGTATTTTGTCACAATGATGGAAAACTGAATAACACAATAAGCAAAACTGAACTTTGCTGTTACAAATCAGGATCGTACTTGCGTCCAGGTGTGAACAGAAACTATAGGGAGACCAAAGGCCTTTGGAGACTGAGGTAATGTCCAGCGTCTTTGTTTAGGGGGTGTCTTCTTACTACCATTGGAATGTGTCCCCCAAATCCTGTGCTGGAAACTTAATCCCCAATGCAACAATGTGGGGAGGTGGGGCCTAGTGGAGTTCATAAGTGCTTCCCCCTCATGAACTGGCGAATGCCACTGTAAGAAGGACTGTGGAAGTGAGTGCATCTCCTTCTGCCTTTCACCATGAGAGGACACAGGAAGAAGGCCCTCGCTGGTGCTGGCCCCTTGATCTTGGACTTGCCAGCCTCCAGAACTGTGAGAGAGATAAATTTCTGTTCTTTATAAACTACTCTCAGGTATTCTGTTATAGCACCACAAATGGACTAAGTTCTCCTTATGAAGATTCATGGAATTATACACTTAACGGTTGTGCATTTTTCTGAAAGTGTGTTGTTTTCAGTAAAAATAAGGCAAGAGAAAGCAAACAAAGAATGTATGTGAGCATAGGTAAGGTTTTTGAGTAGAAAGGGATATCTGAGAGCCGGTGTAGGGACATACAGACCTGCTTCCCTTTGAGCTCAGAACCTGGGCAGCAAGTACTGCACAGAGGCCCTCTCCCCCCGGCTGTCTGCAGGGTTTTCTCTCCCTGGGTTTCAGGATCCTTGAGGGCCCCTAACAGTTCCTTTCACAATAGGTTATGAACCCATCTGTAATGCTACCTGTTGTTTGAAAAGGAGTTTCCATAGCAAAAGATAAGTTGTGATTTCCGGTCTCACCAGCATCTGCTCTGATTAGGTTAATTCCCTCCCATGGAGGTCAGTGACACTCTTCTTCCCCTCCTCTCAAAGGGCCTGCACACCTGTATGGCCATAGGGAGAAGAGGAAAGAGTTAGGTAGCAGGGAAGTGAGACCAATGGAACCTGAGAGTCCAGGGGAGAGGGACTCAGGGGCAGAGGGGATTGTGACCAACTGATGGGGTAGAACCCAAGGTTGATTCTCTGAGGAAGATGAATCCAGGGATGGACAGAGATGCTGTCTCAAGACCTTGTGGAATGTTCACATCCCATAGCCTCAGTGGCTGCGTCCTTGCAGGTCATTTGTGAGTTCAGTAACATAAAATGAATTATGTTTCTGCTAAGCTTTTAAGATATTAAAAAGGAACTCACGCTCGTAACACAGATACAATCCTATATATTTAGAAATGCATTGGGAAAGCACTACACAGAAGAACTCCAGTGGAATTAATATCCATGTTGGGTAATGTATTAGTTCATTGTCATTACTATCATGACATCCCAAGACAGGCTAACTTTATAAACAGAAGAGACTTGTTTTGACTCGCAGTTCGGAGGCTCAAGTTCTAGGGACCACATTTAGGGATAACCTTTTTGCTGGCAGAGTCCTAAGGCAGTGCAGGGTATCCACAGAAAGACAGGGCGCGGGTGTGCATGTGTGTGTGTGTGTGTGTTCTGGTCTCTCTCCCTTTCTTATTTAATCACCAGTGTTCAATCATGGGAGCTCCACCTTGATGGCTTTTTTAATCCTAAAGACCCCA